TATTGGTGCCGTCCCTGTTGGTTTTGGAGGCGCTACGCGGACGAGGCCGTACTTCGTTCCGCTCCTTGAGCAGGTTCTTGATCTCCCGCCCTTTATTGGTCCTGCTCCTCCCTTAGAGTGTCCACTGCCCGTCCAGTCGCAGTCACAGTTACAGCCCGCCTCCCCTCTTCCTGCTCCTTCTCCCTACAGTGGTCCTACTGGAGGTCTCGCTGAGCGTCGTGAGCATGCGTCTCGTCCTGCGTTGCCTGTTCGCACTGCTCACACTAGTCGTCGTGTTCCGCGTCCTCCTGCGGTTCCAGGCACACACCAGATGGCACTGCGTCCTTCCACTGCTCCTCTGCGTGTCCCGTTGCCGTCTCCTCCTGAGTCCTCTCTTCCTTTCCTTCCTGACCCTGAGTCTGACTCTCTTCGTGCTGTCAGTCCTACAGTCACGCGTCTCCTGGCCATTGTTGTCACTAAACCTTCCTTTGAGTCCACTGCTGCGTCTGCCTTAGTGGCTGAGCTTGTCGACTTCGCTGCTCGCTGTTGTCTAGACTACGCCACTAGTCTTGTTGCTGAGTCTGAGTCGGTCTATCCTCCGTCCGTCGGGGGTGGGTGTGCTCTTAGCACGGACGTCCTTGAGGACAGGCAGGAGGAGTTCCGGTGTTTTGCCGCTGCTTTGCCCCATCTCGTGTCCACGCTGATTGCCCCTGATGGAGACCCGGATGCACCAGACATTCCGATTCCTCGATCGTCCGCTGAGGCGATCGAGGGTCCCTACTCCTCTCAGTGGCAGTCAGCAATAGACGCAGAGATGGCTTCCTGGAAGTCCACTGGTACCTACGTCGACGAGGTTCCCCCACCTGGGGCGAACATCGTCAGTGGCATGTGGATTTTCAGGGTGAAGCGGCCGCCGGGTTTCTCCGCCTGTCTTCAAGGCGCGTGGCTTGAGGCTTCAGTCAGCGGCAGGGAGTTGACTACTTTTAGACCTTCTCTCCCACCCCGAAGATGACCACTCTTTGGGTGCTGCTGCACATAGCCGCTCAGCGCGACTACGAGCTTCACTCTCTTGACTTCAGCACAACTTTCCTGCAGGGCAGCCTGCACGAGGAGATCTGGCTGCGCCGCCCACCTGGCTTCACTGGGTCGTTTCCTCCTGGTACCCAGTGGAGCCTCAGGCGGCCAGTCTACGGTCTCCGCCAGGCGCCCCGTGAGTGGCACGACACACTGAGGACTACACTTGCGGCTCTTGTGTTTGCTCCTTCTACAGCCGACCCGTCGCTGTTTCTGCGCACCGACACCTCTTTGCTGCCGTTCTACATCCTCGTGTACGTCGACGACTTGGTCTTTGCTACTGCTGACACTGCTGGACTCGCCCACGTGAAGTCCGAGCTGCAGAAGAGACACACGTGCACAGACCTGGGTGAACTGCGCAGCTACCTTGGCTTGCAGATCATTTGGGACAGAGCACAGCGCACCATCACCCTGACTCAGTCACACATGGTGCAGCAGGTCCTTCAGCGCTTCGGCTTCACGTACTCCTCGCCTCAGGCCACTCCTCTGTCTACTCGCCACTCGCTCTCAGCTCTGCCTTCGGATGAGTCCGTAGAGCCAAGTGGCCCGTACCCAGAGCTTGTTGGCTGCCTCATGTACCTGATGACCTGCACATGACCTGACCTTGCATACCCTCTTAGCATTCTTGCACGCTATGTTGCTCCTGGGAGACACCGACCAGAGCACATGGCTGCAGCGAAGAGGGTGTTGCGCTACGTGTGCAGTACGTCGGGCATGGGGCTAGTGCTTGGAGGGCGATGTCGAGTGGTCCTCACAGGTCACGCAGACGCTTCTTGGGCTGACGACCAGCCTACACAGCGGTCGTCACAGGGTTACACCTTCAGCCTTGGCTCCGGCTCTGTTTCGTGGCGGTCTACCTGCTCGTCTTCTGTTCTCACCTCCAGCCGTGAGGCTGAGATCTACGCGGGGGCCATGGCTACATAGGAGCTACGCTGGCTCACCTACCTGCTGACTGACCTAGGAGAGCCGCCTTGTTCTCCTCCAGTTTTGTACGTAGACAACAAGGCCATGCTGGCCTTGTGTCGGGAGCACAGACTGGAGCACAGAACGAAGCACATTGCTCTCCGCTACTTCCTGTCTCGTGAGCTGGAGCAGCGTGGTCAGCTCCGCCTCACCTACGTGGCCTCTGAGGCCAACACTGCTGATATCTTCACCAAGGCCCTTCCGCCTTGTGATCATCAGCGCTTCTGTACTGTGCTAGGTCTTGTGCCTACCTGGCCTCACTTGCTCACTTTGTGATCTTGTTTGTAGTGTCTTCTTTCTATACCCGCCCTTGCTTGTTTTACCTTTATATATATGACCTTGCATGTGAACTGGCCTTGTGGCCTTGCTCTTGTGCTCGGACTGTGTGGTGACTTTGTGATCCACCCTGAGCTTGCTTTGCTTTGCTTGAGTGGTCTTGTGACCACTTGTTCTCCCCCACTTTGCCTATGGGGGTGTGTCAGAACATTATAGCTTATACATCTGTGTAGGCTGTAGTGGGGTAGCCCATAAGGGGTACAACCCAATTAGGGTTAGTACTTGTACCCAACTGTTTCATAGTTTATTCATTCTCGTTCTAATTCTCACACCTGCTTTGGAGACTCCCTCCCCTGCTCTGCTCCGCGACGCCTTAGCTCCTCTGGGCATTCGCTCTTGCGATGGCCCGGCCTGTTGCAAGCAAAGCAGCGCCCCTTAAACGGCACGGCAGCTGCATTCGTCGCAACAGCGTGTACAGTGGCGTGCTCGATTGGTCCCCGAGGACGATGTCCATAGTAGGACCCCGGTCTCGGACGGCGTAAAATGTCGATTTTCTTGGCGAGCGCGAGAATCTTGTTGAAGTTCGAGAGCCCGCGTAGCATGATTTCGTGCGAGATGTCCGGCTTCAGCCTTCCAACGTAACAGTCCACCCGCTCCGCTTCGTGCATGTAGCCGACTTGCTCGCATAATGCGAGAAAACCACGCGTATTGTCTTGAACCGATCCAAGCTGCCGCCAAGTGCGCAATATCTTACGCGCCGAAATAGAAGCCGTGATCGGCTCGAAGCACGTCCGAAGCCCTGCGCACCACGCATCCCACGTGCTGTATTGGGCGGTCTCGCAGAATGAACTCCAGGTGACAGCTGGGCCCGTGGGCCCTTCCTCTTGCGACGGTGGCTCGTAGGCGTATGGCGACGTCATGATGGCTCGCCACCAGTCCATGGCGGGGCCCCTTAGCAGCGAAACGACATACCGAGTCTTCGCTGCGTCCGACTCGACGTAATTCGTGTCGAAGAAGACGTTCATCGTGAAGACCCTCGATTGAACCGTCGGACCTCCACGCTGGCTCGGGTCGAAGCAGGGCGGGCGTTGCTGCTTGAGTGGCATTGGTGCCATAATGGCCTGTTCGCCACTTGTCGCCGCGAACTCCACGTGCCGACGGGCTTCGCGAGGCTCCCACGAGCTTGGTGCGACCCTGTTTCTTCCCATGCCAGGCATCGGCTGGGCAGCGCCATCGCTGGCTGCGCCTGAGCGCTGTCCCACGCTGTTGTTTTGTGTTGATGTGCCGGACGAGATGACGATCGGCTCGTCTGATTGTGCAGATGCATTTGTCGGTGCGTGTGGTGGCGCTGGAGTGTTCATCGTTGATTGCTGACGCGCGGAGTCACGTTCCGCCGTGAGCGTCGCAATTTCGAGCGCCGAATCTTCAAGTTGGCGCACCAGACGGTCGAGCTGCTCCTGCGTCAATGTGGCGAGCATGAATTCGGCCATGGCGGGGGTGTCGGGCGAGCTCAGCGAGAGCCTCGGTCGTGGCCGTGCGTGCTTACGAGAGAGCACTACGAGCGGCGGTGCTGTGTCGCTGAGAGACGTCTACCCCCCCCAAAAATTGAGATAGTGGGGAAGCAAAGGTGTGGGTGCGGTCCAAGAGGAGATCCTAGGCTTTGAATACCAACTGTTACGAGTGCAATTGAGTGAACGAACGAGAATTGCACTATCGAAGCAAGAGTACAATGAGCGGAGGCATGAGCGAAGAATATATAGCGAAACTACAGTGGTAATGGTAATGGACTGTGGTTGTCGCGCGACGGGCATGGGACTGAGGTTGGGAAAAGTGTCGAAGCGGAGGCCCGGAGCGCGGGTTACCCGCCGAGCCGTGAGGTCGGGGTGTGATGTGCGAAGGTGGCGGACGGATTGTCGATGCGAGGGTTGCGAGTGGTAACGGTGCTGACTGTGGTGCTACAGTGATGTACGCGTTGAGCAGGGATGCGAAGTAAGGAAAAGGAATTTTCCCTACACAGACACAAGACCTGCTTTTTGGGTATTTTTTAGCCAGTTGAAAATGTCGAGGGCGGGGTCAGCCTTCATCAGGTTTGGCAGAGAGGTTTGCGGTGCGGAGGTGTCAAGGTGAAGCCACCTTGGTTCGGAGTAAGCTTGGCCCAGGTGGTTAGGCAACTGCCAGGTTTGTTGGCCAAGTTGTCTCATATTCTTTTGCGGTGTAGACCCTAGTGCACATAAATCTGCTTCTTATCGCTATATTTGAACTAATCTCTCCACTCTCGAGGCTGTCTCGCTTCTATCGAGGTTGCCTCCAACACATGGCTGTTGCCTGCAGGTCGAAATTCAAAATTCAAAATCGGACTCCAAAAAAGCATCCAGCTTCCTGTGCTTCCTCTGACAAGCGGTAACCCGCCAAGACGTCGACTGCTGCTCTCGTGACCTAGCAAATGCAACTTTCCAACAAGACCTTAGTCGTCGATATTGGTCGTCGATAGTAGTCGTCGGTAGTAATAATACTAACTCACGGTCATCGGCATGGACTCAAGCAAGCGGCCTCGAGGCCCTCCCGCTCATATAGCCTCGTCAAAACGGCCGTTTCCCGCTCGCGGCGGCGGCGGCGGCAGCGGAATTCCCGCGTCCCGACGCGACGAGGAGGAAGGCGAGGCGATAGCGGTAGGGACGGAGGAGGAAGAGGAGGAGGTGGAAGAAGCCATGGCGATCGGCGGCGACGCGGGGGGAGGGGATATGGATGAGGACGAGGCGATGATGATCATGATGGCGGAAGACGAAACGGATTTGATTCGGAGAGCGGAGCAGGCGGCGAAGGAAGAGGCCCGGCGGGTAGGACAGATGGGTCGGCTGCAGCCGCTTTTAGCTAAGTGGCGGCGGCAGCCGGTGACGGAGTTCGACCCTAGAAAAACTGATATAGGTGAGAAGGCCAGCGTTGATAAGTGTAACGGGAATTTGACATGCGTGTAGTGAAATGCTGGGGAACATGGTGAAGTACGGTGAAGCACGGCGAGGAAGCTAGTCATGACGGCGTGCCCTGATGCGAACGATCCAGAGCCATGTGAACAGGATGAGCAGCCAAAAACAAATTCGCTGACATACGGACAGCCAGTGTGTGCGGATGCCTCTGCGATGATGGGTCTATGCCAACGTGTATGATGGTTGTCAATGTGCATGGTGAATGTCAATGTGTATGGTGAATGTCAATGTGCATGGTGAATGTCAATGTGCATGGTGAATGTCAATGTGCATGGTGGATGTCAATGTGCATGATGGATGTCGATGTGCATGTTGGATGTCAATGTGCAGATCTCAAGATGCATGATGAATTCTGATGTGCATCAAAGCCAGTGTGTTGAGCTTTTTACACCTCTTACCCATGCTCTCACCCCCACATATTTCAGTGTTTCAGCAGCTTGACATTGACTACTACTTGACATCTGACTCACCCTTCAAGACTCATTACAAGAGCTCCGCTGTGCTGCGGATCTTTGGTGTCAATGAACATGGTCAGTTCCTCCTATTTTTTAAGCATGCGGTCTTATTTTCGCTTCCTTGGTAGATTGTGCCCTCTTTGCTACAGTGTTTTCCCATGTCTCTCATCTCTCACCTCTATATCTCATGTCTCATCACCACTATGTCTCCTCTCCCTTCATGCTTTCAGGAAACAGTGTGTGCGCTATGGTGCACGGCTTTCTGCCATACTTCTATGTGATGGCACCATCGCAATTTACTTACGATGATGTTGCTGCCTTCCACACCCAACTCTCGGTATAGTCAAACTCTTTGGCATTTCGGGATTCCACTTTCCATCTTATTCTGGATATGGATTATATATACGTATATATTGTTACGTGCGTCCATTTGCGTGTGGATGTTCACCTCTTTGTAACTGAATGTGTAACTGTACTGTACTGTACTGTACTGGACTGTACATGTGACTGCAGGAAAGGGGTCAGGCGAAGGGAGTGGTGGTGATAAGAGTGGAAATGTTAAAAGCGCAGGGGCTGCTATACTATCAAGGCCCCGATAAGAAGACATTTCTTAAGATCACACTCGCTCTGCCCACTATGGTGGCTCCGTGCAGAGGTGAGTGCAGCGACGACAACCGTGCAATTCATGATCGATTGCCAGTACCGAGTGACTGACAGTGCTGTCCTCTTGCTGCCATCTCCCCTCTCCTCTCCCCATTCCTCCGACCAGCATATTTCGAGCAGGGGTTTGAGTGGAACGGCTTCCATTTCCCCTCCACCACCTACGAGAGCAATGTGCTCTTTGCGCATGATCGACTGCCACTACTGACTGATCGTGATGTCCTCTCCTCTTGCTGCTGTCTCCCCTCTCTTCTCCCCGTTCCTCCACCCAGCTTACTTCGAACAAGGCTTTGAGTGGAACGGGTTTCAATTCCCTGCCACCACCTACGAGAGCAATGTGCTCTTTGCACTGCGCTTCATGATCGACTGCCACGTCACCGGCGGCAACTGGATCTCGCTGCCAGCTGGCACGTACCGCGTGCGCGAGGACGCGCGGAAGCTGTCAGCGTGCCAGCTGGAGGTTGACATCTTGTGAGTGGTGTGATGTGGTATTGTAAGATCTGATGTGATGTGATCTGATATGATCCGCATCTTCAGCTTCAACCTCTTGCCAACCCTTTCTTTCCTGCTCCCCAACTCCCACATCTTTGCCTCTCTGTAACAGCTATACAGACCTTGTCAGCCACGAAGGCACGGGGCAGTGGTCCCGCATGGCCCCTTTTCGCATCCTCAGTTTTGACATCGAGTGCAGCGGGCGCAAGGGGCACTTCCCAGAGCCGCAGCACGACCCAGTGATTCAGATCGCCAACATCGTTTCCCAGCAGGGCAGCAGTGACCCGCTTGTTCGCACCGTGCTCACCCTCGGCTCCTGTGCTCCGATCGTGGGGTGTGATGTGGTGGCTTTTGAGACAGAGCAGCAACTCCTGCTTGCATGGAAGGTGGGTAGAACGAGTGTAATTGAGAGTGTTGCCTCAAGAGGTCTATATCTGTATCCACCAGAGCCGCAGCACGGCCACAGCACGACCCGGTCATTCAGATCGCCAATATCGTGTCCCAGCAGGGCAGCAGCGACCCGCTGGTTCGCACTGTGCTCACCCTCGGCTCGTGTGCGCCCATCGTGGGGTGCGATGTGGTGGCGTTTGAAACGGAGCAACAGCTGCTGCTGGCTTGGAAGGTGCGTCTGTTTAGTAGCCAGAGCACAACTTGTATCTTTCATTCCTCCTTTTCTGCGTAGTCAAGAAATCTCATTTCTCTCGCATTTCCCCTTTCCCCACCCTCTCCACCACCCTTCCTGCTCCACCTCTCTCCCGTTCCTTCATTTCGTCTCATTATCTCTCCACATATACAGGAGCTCATCCAGGCAACAGACCCTGACGTCATCATTGGGTACATCATTCAGAATTTTGACTTCTGAAACGCCTCAACCCTCCTCCACCCCTCTCTCTCCCTCTCTCTTTCTCTCCACACAGGAGCTCATCCAGGCAACAGACCCCGACATGATCATCGGATACAACATTCAGAAGTTTGATCTGCCCTACTTGATTGAGGTGGGTGGGTTTACACACCAAGAAGGACGATGACATAATCATTTTTTTAGCATCGGATACAACATTCAGAAGTTCGATCTGCCCTACTTGATTGAGGTATGTGGGCTTACACAAGGGTCGATGCGATGTGTGACGAGGAAGTTAGTGACATGATCTGTACCGTGTATCAGAGAGACCATGTATAAGGAGGTCGTGCTATTACTGCTACTGCTGACCCTCTGTTGCTCTCCTCTTGCAGAGGGCAGAGAAGCTGAATCTGAAGACCTTCCCGTTCCTCGGTCGGATCCTCAACACCCAGCTCAAGATGCGCGATGCTCGCTTTCAATCCAGGTGCAACCCTGACTGTAATTTACCTGATGTTACAATATGGGAACATATTCTGATCTGAGTGTTCATTTTGCGATCATGCCATGTGTCGCATGTACTCTGATCTGAGTGACTGGCTGGTGAGTATTGAGATTCCCTCCCTGTTAGTGACTGAGAATCCCTGTTAGTAACTGAGAATCCCTGTTAGTAACTGAGAATCCCTGTTAGTAACTGAGAATCCCTGTTAGTAACTGAGAATCCCTGTTAGTAACTGAGAATCCCTGTTAGTAACTGAGAATCCCTGTTAGTAACTGAGAATCCCTGTTAGTAACTGAGAATCCCTGTTAGTAACTGAGAATCCCTGTTAGTAACTGAGAATCCCTGTTAGTAACTGAGAATCCCTGTTAGTAACTGAGAATCCCTGTTAGTAACTGAGAATCCCTGTTAGTAACTGAGAATCCCTGTTAGTAACTGAGAATCCCTGTTAGTAACTGAGAATCCCTGTTAGTAACTGAGAATCCCTGTTAGTAACTGAGAATCCCTGTTAGTAACTGAGAATCCCTGTTAGTAACTGAGAATCCCTGTTAGTAACTGAGAATCCCTGTTAGTAACTGAGAATCCCTGTTAGTAACTGAGAATCCCTGTTAGTAACTGAGAATCCCTGTTAGTAACTGAGAATCCCTGTTAGTAACTGAGAATCCCTGTTAGTAACTGAGAATCCCTGTTAGTAACTGAGAATCCCTGTTAGTAACTGAGAATCCCTCCCTTTCCTTGTTGTGCCATTGTCCTCATCCAGGCAGTACGGCACAAGGGAAACCAAGGAGGTGACTCTGGATGGGCGAGTGCAATTTGATCTGCTGGTGGCCATTCAGAGAGAGCACAAGCTTAGCTCTTACTCCCTCAACTCCGTCTCTGCTCACTTCCTCAACGAACAGGTTGGGTTTTTCGGTACTCTCTGTGACTTCTTGATCTCAGCACAAAACCAAGAGGAAGAAATTCAGATTGGGATCTTTTTACGCCACAGCAGGTAACCAACTGTGCTTGTATGGTTGTGCTTGAACGAGAATGTGCGTGTTCGTAATGTGCTGGAATGTGATCGTACCTTGTACAGAATGTGCTCCTCTCCTCCCCAACTCCCCCCCCGTCCCCCTTCCCATAAGCGCAGAAGGAGGACGTGCATCACTCCATCATTGCCGACCTTCAAAACGGCGACGCCCAGACGCGCCGCCGCCTGGCCGTGTATTGCCTGAAGGCCACTCATGTGCTTCTCCTACCCCATGTGACATTCTGCTTGTACCGAATGTGCTTGTAATGAGCAGAAGGAGGACGTGCATCACTCCATCATTGCCGACCTTCAGAACGGCGATGCCCAAACGCGACGCCGCCTGGCCGTGTACTGCCTGAAAGACGCGTACCTGCCGCAGCGGCTGCTGGAGAAGCTCATGATGGTCTACAACTACGTTGAGATGGCGCGTGTGACTGGCGTTCCCATCTCCTTCCTGCTTGCTCGAGGGCAGAGTATCAAGGTACGCCACACCCCTGCCATGACGCTGACAGTCTGCTGCCTCAAGGACGCGTACCTGCTGCAGCGGCTGTTTGAGAAGCTGAGGATGGTCTACAATCATGTGGAGATGGCTAGGGTTACCGGCGTCCCCATTTCTTTCCTGCTTGCTCAAGGGCAGATTATCAAGGTATGCATACCAGTACCCGACAGGCTAAAGTGTGTACTGCCTGAAAGACGCGTACCTGCCGCAGCGGCTGCTGGAGAAGCTCATGATGGTCTACAACTACGTTGAGATGGCCAGAGACACGGGAGTGCCATTTTGTTTTTCCTTGCTCGGAGGCAGAGCATCAACGTACTTGCCCTCCCGGCCTGTATGACTTGCCCTTGAGGCCGAGTGGATGCTGGTTTCTCGTATACATGAAGTTGCAGGGTGGGGGAGTAGCAGGGTGAGGGACGCTGAGTGGCAGGGCAGGGAGAGGGGCAGATGCGACCTACGAGGGGCCAACGGCTGCTGGAGCCAAAGCAGGGGTTTTATGAACGCCCTCCTTTTCCCCTTTTCCCTGCTGACACACACACTCCAGGTGCTCTCTCAAATCCTACGCAAGGCGAGGCAGCGAGAGTTGCTGGTACCCAACATGAAGGTTCAGGCGGGGGCAGGAGCAGATGCAACATATGAGGGGGCGACGGTGCTGGAGCCGAAGCAGGGGTTCTATGAACGGCCTGTTGCCACTCTTGACTTTGCATCGCTGTACCCGTCGATTATGATGGCCCACAACCTCTGCTACTGCACTCTGGTGAGTGATTGAATGGGGGACATGCGTGCATATTCCCTTCCCCTCGTCACGTGTACACATACCCCGAATTCACACACACACACACACACACACACACACACACACACACACACACACACACACACACACACACACACACACACACACACACCCTTGACTTTGCATCACTGTACCCGTCGATCCCCTGATGGCCCGCAACCTCTGCTACTGCACTCTGGTTCACACATGCACACACCCACGTCCATGATCATGCCCACACACGTGTGTGGGCATGATCATGCGCACTCCCATGATGATGCTGCGCCTGGGCGTGCACCCATGTCACCACTCACTGCATCACTCACGCGATCACTTACCCCATCACCCACCCTCCAACTCCCACCACTTTCACCGTAAGATTCAGAAGGAGCATGGTATCATCAGGCCACCAGACGACCAGATATCACAAACCCCCAAATCCCATCAAATTTCGGAAACCCATCCCATCAATCACACCGTTCACCCTTTCGGGTGCAGAAGGAGGATGGTATCAGGCCACCGGACGACCAGATATCGCAAACCTCCACAGGCCTTTGAGAAGTCTCAAAAGTTGACCCACCAACCCCCACCACTCCGCACCACTCCCGAACCCTCCCCACCATTCCCCACCACTCCCACCATCAGGTGCAGAAGGAGCATGGTATCAGGCCACCAGACGACCAGATATCGCAAACCCCCACAGGCCTTTGAGAAGTCTCAAAAGTTGACCCACCAACCCCCACCACTCCACACCACTCCCACCATCAGGTGCAGAAGGAGCATGGCATCAGGCCACCAGACGACCAGATATCGCAAACTCCCACAGGAGATCTCTTTGTCAAGGCATCTGCAGCCAAGGGCATTCTGCCAGAGATTCTGGAAGAACTGCTGGCAGCAAGGAAGAGAGCAAAGGCTGATCTCAAGGTGAGGGGTGGGTGGGTAGGAGGGAAGGGAGGAAGGGGGAGGGGGGTTTGTTGCCTGGTTCCTTCTAGTCTCCTCGTCTTTTGAGTCGACTCAAAAGCAGGTTCCTTCTAGTCTCCTCGTCTTTTGAGTCGACTCAAAAGCAGGTTCCTTCTAGTCTCCTCGTCTTTTGAGTCGACTCAAAAGCAGGTTCCTTCTAGTCTCCTCGTCTTTTGAGTCGACTCAAAAGCAGGTTCCTTCTAGTCTCCTCGTCTTTTGAGTCGACTCAAAAGCAGGTTCCTTCTAGTCTCCTCGTCTTTTGAGTCGACTCAAAAGCAGGTTCCTTCTAGTCTCCTCGTCTTTTGAGTCGACTCAAAAGCAGGTTCCTTCTAGTCTCCTCGTCGTGAAGGCATCAGCCGCCAAGGGCATTCTGCCAGATATATTGGAAGAGCTGCTGGCAGCGAGGAAGAGAGCAAAGGCTGATTTTAAGGTGGGAGGGGTGTGGGTAAGAGGGAAGCAGGGAGAAAGGGGCTTGTTGCATGGTCGCTCGAGTCTCCTCTCAAGCATCACATTGTGAAGGCATTAGCAGCCAAGGGCATTCTGCCAGAGATTCTGGAAGAGCTGCTGGCAGCGAGGAAGAGAGCAAAGGCGAATCTCAAGGTATGCGCTGCGTTTTTTGTTGCGTGGACTTTTTGTTGCATGGACTTTTTGTTGCATGGACTTTTTGCTGCATGGACTTTTTGTTGCATGGACTTTTTGTTGCATGTCTCAAGTCTCCAAATCCATCCTCCCTCCCTCCCTCCCTGTCTGCTCTTCATCTCTGCAGAAAGCCACGGATCCACTGGAGAAAGCAGTGCTGGACGGCCGACAGCTGGCACTCAAGGTAGGATGACAGCTGGCAGAGAGGGTAGGATGACAGCTGGCGGAGAGGGTAGGATGACAGCTGGCAACCCAGGCCAGGTAGCTTGACAGCTGGCATGCAAGGAAGGATAACAGCAAACCAAATTCTCCAGCTTCCTTCCTGGTCCTCTTTTTTCGTTTCTCAATGCTTTCACACCCTTTCGTGTGTGTCTCTTCATTTGCCAGCTCAGACTACAGCATCACAGGGGCCACTGTCGCTGCATTATCATGCCTCTGCTTTGCATGCTTCTGCTCATTTTCTTCCCCCTCCCATCAGCCTCACCACAGGTGAGTGCCAACTCGGTCTACGGCTTCACAGGGGCCACTATCGGCGCTCTGTCATGCCTCTACTTTCCATGTGTTTGCTCATTCCCTTCGACCTTTACTCCGTGGTTCTCCTCTCTTCCCCCCCTTCATCACAGGTGAGTGCCAACTCTGTCTACGGCTTCACAGGGGCCACTATCGGCGCTCTGCCCTGCTTGGAGATATCATCCAGTGTTACTGCCTACGGTGAGTCACTCACGTGCATGACTGGGGCTTTAGAATCCGGGCTCTGCCTGTGTTACTTCCTTTGCTTCTGTGCTGCCCGGTTACCTTTTCTGCATCTGTGCTGCCTTTGTTGCTGCGATTCTGAGCTAGATGTGACTTTTGAGAATTCTCAAAAGTTTCTGCGTCTGTGCTGCCTGTGTTGCTGCGATTCTGAGCTAGATGTGACTTTTGAGAATTCTCAAAAGTTTCTGCGTCTGTGCTGCCTGTGTTGCTGCGATTCTGAGCTAGATGTGACTTTTGAGAATTCTCAAAAGTTTCTGCGTCTGTGCTGCCTGTGTTGCTGCGATTCTGAGCTAGATATGACTTTTGAGAATTCTCAAAAGTTTCTGCGTCTGTGCTGCCTGTGTTGCTGCGATTCTGAGCTAGATGTGGCTTTTGAGAATTCTCAAAAGTTTCTGCGTCTGTGCTGCCTGTGTTGCTGCAATTCTGAGCTAGATGTCGGCCTTGACGAACGTGGCGACTTGACTTTTGAGTCGACTCAAAAGATGTCGCCCTTGACGAACGTGGCGACTTGACTTTTGAGTCGACTCAAAAGATGTCGGCCTTGACGAACGTGGCGACTTGACTTTTGAGTCGACTCAAAAGATGTCGGCCTTGACGAACGTGGCGACTTGACTTTTGAGTCGACTCAAAAGATGTCGGCCTTGACGAACGTGGCGACTTGACTTTCGAGTCGACTCAAAAGATGTCGGCCTTGACGAACGTGGCGACGCTGACGAAGCATTCGACCTCCTCATTACAGATGCTTCTCTCCTTCCCCATCCGTGCATGCGTGCAGGGCGGCAGATGATAGAGCAGACGAGGGCGTTTGTGGAGCAGCACTACTCCATTGCCAACGGTTACTCGCACAATGCCTCTCTCTCAAGGCACCTCAATAATTCACTTCTGCTTCACCTTCCTCATGGATGTGTGTGTGTGCGTGCATGCGTGCGTGTGTGTGTTCATGTGTCCATGCGTGCAGGGCGGCAGATGATAGAGCACACGAGGGCGTTCGTGGAGCAGCATTACTCCATCACCAACGGCTACTCGCACAATGCCCTTTGATGCACTGTTCCACCTCTTCTTCCTTGTGGGTGTGCGTGCATGTGTGCTTGTGTGCGTGTGTCCGTGCGTGCAGGGCGGCAGATGATAGAGCACACGAGGGCGTTTGTGGAGCAGCACTACTCCATCGCCAACGGTTACTCGCACAATGCGGATGTGGTCTACGGCGACACGGATTCGGTGATGGTGATGTTTGGCGTGGACACTGTCGAGGAGGCCATGCGCATGGGCAGGCAGGCGGCAGAAGAAATTTCTGACACCTTCCCCAAGGTATGTAGGAATAGGTACGTGGTACATGTGCCAATGCCGACGTGGTGTACGGTGACACGGACTCAGTGATGGTCATGTTTGGCGTGGACACTGTTGAGGAGGCCATGCGCATGGGCAGGCAGGCGGCAGAAGAAATTTCTGACACCTTCCCCAAGGTGAGAGAGCACGATTTAAAGTCGACTCAGAGCACAATGCGGATGTGGTCTACGGCGATACTGACTCAGTGATGGTCATCTTTGGCGTGGACACTGCCAAGGAGGCCATGCGCATGGGCAGACAGGCCGCAGAGGAGATCTCTGATACCTTCCCCAAGGTGAGAGTCCTTATTTGCTGGATAGTCGAAACTCAGATGGTCCTTTTCTGTTCCAACTTCCCCTCCCCTCCCTTTCTTGTTGCCTTCTAGCTGATTTGAAAAATAAAAGCAAATGACATATATTCTTTTCTGTCTGCCCTGGTCTTGCCTCTCAGCCAATCAGGCTGGAGTTTGAGAAGGTGTATTTCCCGTACCTGCTGATCAACAAGAAGCGCTACGCGGGGCTGTACTGGTCCAACTCCAAGGCCTTTGACAAGATGGACACCAAAGGTGCGATGATTGATGTGTGACAGTAAAGGTGTGTTTCTTATAACATGTGCAAGAAGCAATATACCGGACTGTACTGGTCCAACTCCAAGGCCTTTGAATAAGATGGACACCAAAGGTAGGTACGGCGGCCTAGGTGTGCCGATAAAGGTGTGATTATATCAAGTGCAAGAGGCTGTACTGGTCAAAACTCAAAGGGCTTCGATAAGATGGGAACCCATCCAACCAACATCTTGTCTCCTTTCGACTCCTCACATCTTGTCTCCTTTCGCCTCCTCACATCTTGTCTCCTTTCGCCTCCTCACATCTTGTCTCCTTTCGCCTCCTCACATCTTGTCTCCTTTCGCCTCCTCACATCTTGTCTCCTTTCGCCTCCTCACATCTTGTACCCGTGTTCTTTCAGCCCATTGATAAGAAGGAGTGTTTTGAGACGTCTCAAGACACTTCTTCATCCAACCGACATCTTGTCCCCTCTCGCCTCCTCACATCTTGTACCCGTGTTCTTTCAGCCCATTGACCCCACAGGTATCGAGATGGCTCAAAGAGACAACTGTCGGCTCTGAGTCGACTTCAGAATAAGTTCGGTCTTCCCTCTCTCTGTCTCTTCCCCTTGTCTCCTACTGCTGTAACCCTTCAGGCATTGAGACGGTTCGGAGAGACAACTGCTTGTTGGTCCGCCAGGTGAGCTGGGGACGTGTTTTTCAGTTGAGATTCTCAAGAAAACGTGGTCTACTTACCTGGCGTATGTGAAATCTGATCTGAGATTTTTCCCATGGCTGCGGCATGCACATGTGAAGGCTGTCGTTTACTTTTGAGGCAATGCCTAGTGCCCACTGGTTTGCTTCCACAGGTGGTGGACGAGTGCTTGCGGCGCATTCTAATGTGAAGGCTGTCATCTCGGATCTCCTCTTGAACAAGCTCGACCTCTCGCTGCTGGTTATCACCTCTATGTTGAAACACCACGTGTATCGTCTCATGCCCCCCACTGGTTCACCCCACTTTACAGGTGGTGGATGAGTGCTTATGGCGGATCCTAATGGAGCGGGATATTCTCGGAGTGGTGGCGTATGTGAAAGGCTGTCATCTTTCAAATTGAATCAAAGTCCCCTCCCCCACGCACAGGTGGTGGACGAGTGCTTGCGGCGGATTCTCATGGAGCGAGATTTTTGAGGCGCCTCAAAAATGAGTGCTTGCGGCGGATTCTCATGGAGCGGGATTTTTGAGGCGCCTCAAAAATGAGTGCTTGCGGCGGATTCTCATGGAGCGGGATTTTTGAGGCGCCTCAAAAATGAGTGCTTGCGGCGGATTCTCATGGAGCGGGATTTTTGAGGCGCCTCAAAAATGAGTGCTTGCGGCGGATTCTCATGGAGCGGGATTTTTGAGGCGCCTCAAAAATGAGTGCTTGCGGCGGATTCTCATGGAGCGGGATTTTTGAGGCGCCTCAAAAATGAGTGCTTGCGGCGGATTCTCATGGAGCGGGATTTTTGAGGCGCCTAAAAAATGAGTGCTTGCGGCGGATTCTCATGGAGCGGGATTTTTGAGGCGCCTCAAAAATGAGTGCTTGCGGCGGATTCTCATGGAGCGGGATATTCCCGGCGCTGTGGCGTATGTGAAGGCCGTCATCTCGGATCTCCTCTTGAACAAGCTCGACCTCTCGCTGCTGGTTATTACCTCTATGTTCAAACACCTCATGCATCGTCTCATGCCCCACTGGTTCAACCCACCCCACAGGTGGTGGGCGAGTGCTTGCAGCGGATCCTAAGGGAGTGGGACATCCTCGGAGCAGTGGCGTATGTGAAGGCTGTGATCTGTTCTTGAGGCACCTCGTATATCCTCTCATGCCTCACTGATTAACGTCCCACCCCACCCCCACGCACAGGTGGTGGACGAGTGCTTGTGGAGGATACTCATGGAGCGGGATATTCCTGGAGCAGTGGCATATGTGAAGGCTGTTATGTATCCGGAAGCTCATGCATCGTATCGTGTCCCCCCTGGTTCAACCCACAGGTGGTGGATGAGTGCTTGCGGAGGATACTCATGGAGCGGGATATTCCTGGAGCAGTGGCATATGTGAAGGCTGTTATCTCAGATCTTCTTATGAACAAGCTCGACCTCTCGCTGCTGGTGATCACCAAGGCGCTAACCAAGGGAGGTGACGACTATGCAGTCAAGGCGGCCCACGTTCAGCTAGCAGAGAGGATGCGCAAGGTGAGTGAGGATTCTCTCACCTTGTGACTCAGATATTGCGAGAAGCCTTTTTTATTCGACAACCATGGAGATCAACTAGTCATTGGGGTTGTTCTTCGTTGCTCATATGTTGCCGTGCGTCGCTAATCTGCCTCTGCATTCACTAGCAGCTGCTCATTCTTTTGTGAGATTCACCTTCCCTTTCTTCCTCTTTCCGCCCTTTACCACCCCTTTCCGCCCTTTACCACCCCTTTCCGCCCTTTACTACCCCTTTCCGAATCCACCTTTGTTGTTGCTTGAATCCCTCTCTCTCAGCGTGACCCCGCCACAGCACCAGGCATTGGGGATCGAGTGGCGTACGTCATTTGCAAGGCTCCAAAGGGCAGCAAGGTGAGCTGCTTGCGACGTGCGGTGCATGTAGCTTGCTTGAATCTGCCCATCTCCCAGCGTGACTCCGCCACAGCACCGGATCGAGTGGCGTATGTCATCTGCAAGGCCCCCAAGGGAAACAAGGTGAGCTGCTTGCAAATGCATGCGGTAAAAAGTGCATAGACTCCTGAGGAAGCAGGATGCACTTCTTCTTGTATGCTCTTGGTAGGTTCGCATACCCATTGTCTTAAATCTCTCAAAACGTTAGGCATACACAGGCTCTTGTAACAGACGCCTGCGTTATGCTTCCAAGAGTGGGGGACAAAATGGCGTCACTCCCTCCAGGCATGCGATGAGATTGCTATACCTGTGGTCCGTTCACCCGTTAGGCCTGCTTCTTCTGTACGGGATTACCGGGCATCGGGGATCGAGTGGCCTATTCTGTCAGGCATGCGATGAGATTGCTATGCCTGCGGTCCGTTCACCCGTTATGCCTGCTTCTTCTGTACGAGATTCACGCACTCAGTTCGCTCTCTCCTGCTTCACATTTTCTCATCTCAGGCATACGAGAAGTCTGAGGACCCCATCCATGTGCTGGAGAACAACATACCCATCGACCCGCACTACTACCTTGAAAACCAACTCAGCAAGGTAAGCGCGGTTGTCCTTTGGGGTGCCTCACAAGTTTCCCACCATGCGTACTGACGAGAGATCGACATATCCATTCACAAGAAGTCTGAGGACCCCATTCATGTGCTGGAAAACAACATACCCATCGACCCGCACTACTACCTTGAGAACCAACTCAGCAAGGTGAGGGGTGAAGTGTTGATATTCTTGTTCTCAATAGCAGACGATTCCTCTGGAGCAACAAACAACATACCCATCAACCCTCACTATTACATGGAGAACCAACTCAGCAAGGTAAGCGCGGTTGTCCTTTGAGGCGCCTGAAAAGTCTGCCCTCACCACTTTTGAGGCGCCCATTCTGCCGCTGAAAATTCTCCTGCGGATATTCGAGCCCATTCTGAAGAATGCGAGCAAGGAGCTGCTGAGTGGCGCGCACTCGCGAGCCGTGTCCATCTCCACCACCCTCCCACCCCTTAAACTCTTATCTTCAACCCTAAACCCCAATGCTTCAGCCGCTTCTGAGAATATTCGAGCCCATTCTGAGGAACGCAAACAAGGAGCTTCTGAGTGACGCGCACGCGCGAGCCGTGTCCATCTCCACCGCCCTCCCACCCCTTCAACTCGTATCTTCAACCCTAAACCCCAATGTTTCAGCCCCTCTTGCGGATATTCGAGCCCATCTTGACGAAGCTGCTGAACAAGGAGCTGCTGAGTGGGACGAACTCGGTGATCCATACACCATTCAAACCCCTCTCCCCCCCCCCCCCCACTCCCGGTTCTTGTTTGAACCCTCAACCCATACCCTACATACCCCGACGTTCCAGCCACTGCTGAGAATTTTCGAGCCCATTCTGAAGAACGCAAGCAAGGAGCTGCTAAGCGGAGCGCACACGCGTGCCGTTTCCATCTCCACGCCTTCGACAGGTGGCATCATGCGATTCGCCAAAGTCCGCCTCTCCTGCCTCGGCTGCAAGACGCCCCTCAGGTAACCCAACCGCCTGGGTTTTTTTTTTTTTTTACAACAATAAGTTATGATTGAATGTCGAACCCTTCTAGCCCTTTCTTGTTTGGTCCGTGAAATCTCTGAGAACAGCTTTGAGGCGCCTCAAAACTTGTTTGGTCCATGAAATCTCTGAGAACAGCTGTGCCTAAGGGACAGCCTGAATGGTGTCCTATGTTTGGTGTGTATGCACGAATGCGCTGCCTTTTACCATCTCCTCCTCTCCTTTTATCGTCCTTTACGTTCTCTCTGCTCTCTCTCCTGGCAGTGGAAATTCCCAGACGCTGTGCGTGCACTGTATGGATCGAGAAGGCGAGATTTACCAACGGATCACATCCAATGGTGAGTCTTTGATAGTTTAATTTCAATGGTTTCTGCTGGCCGTGTTTTTTAAGATAATCGATAATCAGCTTACCAATCCCTCAATCCTGCTTTCTGTGTGCTTCCTTCATGCTTTCTGCATCCTCCCTCCTTGCTGTCTGTGATTCAGTGCGGGAGTGTGAGGAGCAGTTTGGAAGGCTATGGGTGGAGTGCCAGCGATGTCAGGGCAGCTTGCACCAAGACGTGCTCTGCACCAGGTATGCTGTGTGGTGTTGGTGTAGCATGTGCGCTGATGTGATGTTTAAGTCGGCTAATAAAGAAGCAGCAGCTTGGAAGGCTATGGGTGGAGTGCCAGCGATGCCAGGGCAGCTTGCATCAAGACGTGCTGTGCATCAGGTACGCTGTATGGTGGAATGTTGGTGCTGCTGTATGGTGGCTCTGATGGTGCTGCTGTAGACTTTAAGTTGACTCTTAAGTCACCTAATGCCAGCAATGCCAGGGCAGCTTGCATCAAGACATGCTGGGCACCAGGTACGCTGTATGGTGCTTCTGTAGCATGTAGGATGGCGGTGTTGCTGTCTATCTTGCTGCATGGGGTGCCGGTGGTGTCAGGGAAGCTTGCATCAAGACGTGCTCTGCAGCACCAGGTGAGATGGTGGCTCTGATGGTGCTGTTGTTGCTGTAGCTGGTGGGGTTTGCACTGTTGTGTGGCTGCTTAGAGGTCAGTAGAGGTTGTGTGCCATAGCTTTCCGTAGCACGGATTAGTCTGTAACTGTTCAGTCTACGTGGAGGGGCCCACCGTGGCTGCTTGACCTTAACGATCACCCACCAACTCTCCCCTGTTCTCTTCCCCTGGCAGTCGCGACTGCCCCTCCACGTCCCTCTGTGCCTTTTCCCCCTGTTCTCTTCCCCTGGCGGAGGAAGAAGGCACAGAAGGACGTGGAGGGGACCCTACCATTGACTGCTTTATTCCAATTATCACTCCCTTCCACCCTCCCCCTGTTCTCTCCCCCTGGCAGTCGGGATTGCCCCATATTCTATCGGAGGAAGAAAGCACAGAAGGATGTGGAGGAGTCGCACGCTCAACTTGCAAGATTCGACTTTTGACTTCTTAAACGACTCAAAAATTGGCCCTACTTGCGGTTTTGGGCCAACTTGCAAAAAGTAATGAGCCAACACAACAGATATATGCACAAATACACAAGCACAGAAGTAGAGGCGGGCCGAAGTCAGCCGTCGGGAGTCAGATTTTGACCTGACTATATTGAGAAAAGCCAGCCCTTCTTAGTTGCCGTCAGGCCCCAATTGTACAGTTGCTCTAAGCTCCTTGTTCTGGCTGCATTATGTGCTCTAGTGTTGTTATGTTCTCCAAGCAAGGTAAAGGTTGTACCTTTGTGAAGCAACTTGTACAGTTGTAGATGGGATGAGAGTTGGGTGTAGGAGGATGGGATGGTTGCAACGGGAAGGAGGGGTTGAACATCAATTCAGTAAACGGGTACCAACATCAAACCAGCTTTTGGACTTGATGGGCGAAAGCACAAAACCTTTCGCAACTGTGGCAACCAGTCGTCGCTTCGAAAGAAATGGGCTAGCGAACGCAGACGTAATCTGTATGCGACATTGTCGCAATGTTATCGTGAAAGGAGATGGCATTGATGCGCCAGCGAAGGTTACCCCACAGCTCGGCAATCCCAGCGCTTGGCAATCCCAGCGCAGTGAGTGGGACCAGAATAGGATCCGTCTGTTTGCACTCACCATGCCTTCTATCAGAGCACTTCTCCGTTCTCTTGGGTCTGTATCGTGAACTTTGCTACTAGAGTGTGAGATGTCTGCTGCCAGCAATCGGAGGAACTATTGAGACGAAACGTTTTCTTACAGATGGTCGTCGTAGGACACTCACTGAAGGCGTGTAAGTCGTTCATGTGATCCATCGTCCGTTTCGTTGCATCCATCGGCTATTCGTTATGGCGTATCGTACCAGAACGTCACGGCCACCCATCGCGTGGATAAACAGATTAAGATCTTCATTAAGATTCATGACACCGTCTTCTACGCCTCGTAATAAGTCATTTTCAGAGAAGCCTGAAATGGCATCCGCAGCTGCTATTCCTTCCCCGCCGAGCCTCTACCGGTTTGGGCTAAACCGACACCAGCCTGCACAAAACGCATTCACCAGGTTTCGAACTTCTGACCGGAGCTTCACTATAGGCTGCCCAGCTGGATCGTCGGCCAGAGCAGCAGAGGTTCCCGAGGCGGAGAGCGCGAACGTGCGATTCGATCCGAGCTTCGATGGCAAACCAGCAGTGGCGGTCGGGACGGAGGATCGACTGCGTACAGATGGAAGTGAGGAGGGAGAGAGTGAGGGACGAAAATCAGAGAAGAGCGAGAGTAGAGTGACAAGAGCAAGGGAAGTGGGGGGGAAGGATGCGGGAGGCGGGTGGAAGCGTGGAGAGAGAGAAGGGTGCAAGGATTCAGAGCAGGAGGAGGAGGCAGTTGCAGTAATCGCTGGAGTGTTGAGAGAGAAATTCGGGGATCAGATCGTGAGAGAGGAGGGGGAGGAGGAGGGGTGTACAAACGGAATGATTACGGACGAGGAGGATGCTAAGGGACGACACGAAGCGGAAGAGTTGGGGGATGGGGATGAGGAAAGAGAGGGCGCAGAAGCTGAGGGCGAAGAGGGTGAGGATTGGAACGAGGGGGAAGACGCAGAAGCAGAAGCAGAAGCAGAAGCAGAAGCAGAAGCAGAAGCAGAAGCGAGTGAGGAGGACGCACCACCCAACACATCTCCTCCCACCCGCCCATCTCCTCCACACTATGGCCCTCGTCGGGTCGTATCTCCCTCCTCCCTCCTCTCCCTCTACCGCTTCTTCTCCTCCCACCTCGGCATCTCCTCCCCTTCCACTGTCGCTTCCCTCCTCGCCTCTCACCCTGCCCTCCTGCGTTCTGATCCAGCCAATGATCTTCTGCCACGTGTCCACCTCCTCCAGTCATATGGCTTATCCCGTGCCGACATGTCAGCCATCTCCATGAGAAATTGTTCCTGGCTCCGAGTCTCCCTTTCCCACCTTCAGGAAATGCTTGATTTTCTCTTGGCTCGGGGCGTACGCCGAACCAAGCTAGGTACGGTGCTCCGAAAGTCTCCATTTCTCATTACCATGCGGACTCGTTCACCGAACTTGGACATTCTGGTGGAGAGAGGGGGGGTTCCTGTGGACAAGCTGGGTGTGCTTATAGAGAGAGGTCCAATAACTCTGTGCATGAAGGAGGAAACCATACGAAGTCGCCTCGAGCAATTATCAGCATATTTTACCACTGGATCCGGAGAAGGAAGCGTCAACAGCGGGCACCTGAGGCAACACCTGAATAGGCAGCACAAGGACAAGAATCACCTGAGCAGACTCCTGGTGCGGTGTCCAGGAATCCTCCTCAGGCCTCCGGAGCGCATTGCCGCCAACCTCCTCCTCCTCCAGTCCTTCACTCCTCCTGACAGCCCTTCTGTTTCCATTTCGATTCTCCGCCACACCCCCTCTCTCGTCCACAGAAACTCCCAGAATCTCTTAGCTAAGCTCCAGTTTTTAGTGGAGTTGGTGGGGGAGAAGGCAACAGCGAGCGTGGTGCGCAACTTTCCAAGGATTCTTACTCTATCGGTAGAAAATATGCAAAGCAAGGTGGCATTGCTGAGCGATCTGATTGGTCGAGAGAACGCCGTGCTTGCAACGGCAAGGAACCCTTTATTGCTGTCGTCCAGTGAAGAGAATTTCAGGACGGGTTTCAGCGAGCTTGTAAGAGAAGTGGAAGAGGCATTGGAGAGCAGTGGGGAAGCAGGAAGTGAGATGCAACGGTTGGAGGGGGCATTGAAGCATGATGCAAGGGAATGTGCTGGGCAAGAGGGAAGCGGTACCAGCTTTCCAGCCAGGTCAAAGCGCTGGGATGAAGTAAAAGCAGGAGAAGGACAAGGCTTTAAGAGCATTGCTGCCACCATCACAGCTCGTGAGATGGTGGTGAGTCTGGTGATGAAGTTCCCGAATTCTATTTTCTACAGTTGGGAGCGGAACACGAAGCACAAGGTGGAATACCTAAAGTGGGACATGGGGTTGTCTATAACGGAGATGCTCGCGTTCCCCATGTTCCTTGGGTTCAGTTTGGAGCGGCGAATCAGACCGCGACATCTGGCACTGCTGAGCAAGGGGTATGTGTTGGTACCACATGAGGTAGCTCTACCAAAGAATAGGGGAGAAAAAGGGGGGCACTTGGAGGGAGTTGGTAGCGGGAGGAGGGCAGAAGGAAAGGACGAGGATATGGCTTTTGAGTCGACTCAAAAGTCAACAGAAGGAAAGGACGAGGATATGGAAGTAGAATATGGGGAGGATGAGGGTGGGATGGATGAGATGAGGGTGGGGAAGGTTGAGTATCACAGTGTACTGGATTCTGTGCAAGACAGCTATGCTGTGGTGGGGAGAGAAGGTACTGCTGGCCAGCGAGGCGTGAATCGGCCGCAGGGAAGGGAGGCGGTTTGTTTGATTCAGTTGCTTAAAGGCTCGGACAAGGAGTTTGAAAAGAGATTCAAGGTAGAGCTTGCACCGTTCATGCCGGAAACTCGTTCATAGTCGAGCTTTTGAGGCACCTTGAAAGGGGGGTGGCGTGCTTGGTTCCTCTGTCACTTGATTGCCCGACAAGGAAATTGAAAAGGGAATCAAGGTTAATGGTCCCTAATCAAGCTTCTGAGGCACCTCTAAAGGGGGGCGGGTGGTGTGCTTGGTTCCTCTGTTACTTGATTGCCTGATCGAGAAGCGATTCAAGGCCGCGCTTGTTGTGCCGTTCATGCCAGGAACTTGTCCCTAAACAAGCTTTTGATGCGCCGCGAAATGGCAGGGGGCGCGGTGCTGCGGTTTTCTTGATTCAGCTGCCTTGATGACCACACAAGGTTCACGGTCGAGCTTTGCCTTGCATGCACCGTCCATTTCCGGAAGCTCACCCCTGGTTTGGCTTTCAATGCGCCTCAAAAGGGAGGCGATGCGGTACGCTTGATTCAGTTACTTGGATGCATGCGGAGTATAGAAATTGAATATGAGAAGAGATTGAAATTGCTTCTTGCTCGCCCATGCCGAGAACTCATCCCTAGTCAAGCATTTGAGGCGCCGCGAATGGGAGGGGGTTTCGATTCAATGCGCCTGTTGGCAATTAATCTGTTGGCGACAAAGGGAACCCTGCAAACCTTACAGGCTAAGCTACAGAACCAAACTTATGCTCCTTCTGCCGCTGTCCCTGCGGCTGCTCCAGCTCCTGCTCCTGCTTCTGCTCCTTCAGCCCCTGTCCATACTGCCGCTCCTGCTCCTGCCCCTGCCCCTGCTGCTACTCCTGCTCCTGCTCCTGCTTCCGCTTCTGCTTCTGCTTCTGCCCCTCCTGCTCCTGTCTCTGCTCCTGCTCCTGCTCCTGCTCCTGCTCCTGCTCCTGCTCCTGCTCCTGCTTCTTCCCCTGCTGCTCCTGTCTCTACTCCAGCTCCTACTCCGGCTCCTGCTCCTGCCTCTATCCCTGTCTCTACTCCTGTCCCTGCTCCTGCTCCTGCTCCTGCTCCTGCTTCTGCTCCTATCACGGTACCTAGCAGCAGCACGGCGAGTCTCTTCCAGCTTAGCTCGCTTCAACCTCTCCTGCTCCTGCTTCTTTGCTTTCTCTGCTGCCGTATCCTTTTTAACTGCCACACACAAAAGGGTATGGGTGAAGCATGGGAGAAAAAAAACAAGGAACCAGGGGTGATGAAAAAGCTGAGCTCTCGCCAGCCTCCTGTCACGAGAGACGAGACAACCTTTGAGGTGCCTAAGAAAAATGACAAATTTCATCTCATCCGGTTCCATTTTCATCCTACTGTACCCTAGCCTTTTTTTAAGCATCCCAGCACGTCGCTGGACAGCTTAACACGGCTCAACACGACCCAAGATGGCTGAATACAGCTTAACATGGGCCAACACATCCCAAAAACGCCCCCAGCCTACTGTGTTTATTCAGCTGCTTTGCCATCCGCCGCTTCAGCCTCTCCTGCGATGTCTCCTTCGCCCCTCTCTCCATACAACAACGTGCTAAGCCCCTAGTTTCACCCACTTTCACCTCCAACCCACTTCACCCCCCTTCACACCCAGCCTACTGTGTTTGTTCAGCTGCTTGGCCATCAGCCGCTTCAGCCTCTCCTGCGGGGTCTCCTTCGCCCCTCCCTCGGCTCCCTTGCCTGCCGCCCCTGCCACTCGAGGCACCGTGGATGGCGCAAGCAAGCGGCGGCTGTGGGGAAGACGGGTGGAAGTGAAGAGAAGGGAGTGGGGAGAGAAAACAGTTCTTGATTTGTCTCAAAAGTCCTGTTTATTTCGCCCCTCCCTCAGCTCCCTTCCCCCCCCCGCCTGCCACTCGAAGAAGTGTGGATGGTGCAAGCAAGCGACGGCTGTGGGGAGGGGAGGATGGGTGGAAGTGGCGAGAGGGAGAGTGGGGACGTGGGGACAGGAGAAAAATGTTATGTGACCCGCGGGGCACTCCAAAAACTTTTGCGGCGATTGATAAGTTAACAAAAAAAAAAAAAAAAAACAGAAGAAGAAGAAGAGGAAGAGGAAGAGGAAGAGGAGGAGGAGGAGGAGGAGGAGGAGGAGGAGGAGAAGAAGAAGAAGAAGAAGAAGAAGAAGAAGAAGAAGAAGAAGAAGAAGAAGAAGAAGAAGAAGAAGATGAAGATGAGTTGGATGATCACGAACAAGCGTCGCATTAAGAAGGCACCTCTCATGCTTTGAGATGGCAACCTCTCATGTTTTGAGATGGCAATCTCTCATGTTGTGAGATGTCTCAATCATGTGGCAGAAGCATACCACATACAGTGGGGCAAGCGGCACAAGCAGGTAACATCTGAGAAACACAAGCAGGTAACATCTGACAAACACAAGCAGGTAACATCTGACAAACACAAGCAGGTAACACCTGACAAACACAAGCAGGTAACACCTGACAAACACAAGCAGGTAACACCTGACAAACACAAGCAGGTAACACCTGACAAACACAAGCAGGTAACACCTGACAAACACAAGCAGGTAACATCTGATAAACACAAGCAGGTAACATCTGACAAACACAAGCAGGTAACATCTGACAAACACAAGCAGGTAACACCTGACAAACACAAGCAGGTAACATCTGACAAACACAAGCATACATCACATCACACCATGAGCCCACCTGAGAGCTGGCGACTGCTTGGAAGAGGCAGTCGATGGGGAGCCAATCAAAACATCCCCACTCAAACCCCTCTCGAACCGCTCTCCACCGTACCCTATCCTCCTCTCCTCCTCACCTCCCCTCCTCTCCTTCTCCCTGCCAAATCCCTCAGCCTCACCCACACCCCCGCCAAACTGGGTGATAAACTCTATCCCGCCCTCCTTCTCCCCATACCCTCTTGACCCCCTCCCCCCTGCGTCTTCCCCTCTGTCCCTATCCCTCTCCCTACCCCTCTCCTGCTCCCTTTCCCTATCTCTATCTCTATCCCTGCCCCTATCCCTATCCCTGCCTCTGTCTAAATCCCTGTCCCACCTGTCCCCTTCCCTTCTCCTATCACTATCCCTATCCCAACCTCTTTCTCTCTCCCTGTCCCTCCCTCTGCCATCGTGCCCCCTCTGCCCCTCAGTGTTTCCCCCAACCCCCACCAACCCCTGCTGCTTCCAAGCCTCCCCCTTCCCCTGCTGCTTCTTCCCCTGCCCTCCCCCTTCCTTCCCCTGGCGAGCAAGCTTCTTCCTCTCTTTGCGTGAAGGGCGCTGGTAAGTAGAAGGGGGTATAGCATAACAAAGGGTATGAGAGAGTGAATGGCTTTTGAGGCGCCTAAAAAATCGTAAGTAGAAGGGGGTATACCATAACCAAGGGCATGGGAGAGGTGACTTTTGAGTCGACTCAAAAGTAAAGGGCGCTGGTAATTAGAAGGAAGTATACCACAACAAAGGGCATGGGAGAGTGAATGGGAGAGGGTGAATGGGAAACTGAATGCGAGAGTGACAGTAGAGCGTGGGGCACATCAAATCTAAGATACAGGCATCAAGATTAAACACAGACGCTACCAGAACATTACCTGCTGAAATAAATCTATCATGACTCAAATTGGGTATAACATTCGCTCACCGAATCATTGCCCGCCATCTGTCGCAGCCTCTTCTCTTTCTCCAAGGCAGATACTGCCAAATCCATGTGCCGCCCGTATTCCTCTATGCCGTACCGTTCCGCCATATCTGCCAAACGCTGCCGCCCACCAGGAGACATCCACCCGTATTCCTCCACGTCTCCCCCCTCCCCCCCATCCCCCTCCTCTTCCTCCTCCTCGTCGTCCTCATCCTCCTCTTCCTCATCCTCGTTACAGTCACCTGCGTTATTGTCACTGCTTCCATAAGAGAACGGCATGTTAGCATAAGCCCCCTTGCCTGGTGCTGGTGTTGCTGCGGATGCTGCTGCAGCAGCAGGCAATTTTGGCCTGGGCAAAGCGGAAGAAGGAAGGGAGAAAGGAGAGGAGGAGAGTCAGATGGGTGATATGCAGCAACGGAAAGATGGGTAAAAGGAGGGACGCATAACCCTTGCCTGCTGCTGGTGCTGCTGCGGATGCTGCTGCAGCAGCAGGCAATTTTGGCCTGGGCAAAGCGGAAGAAGGAAGCGAGAAAGGAGAAGAGAGTTTGATGGTTGATATGCAACGATGGAAAGATGGGTAAAGGAAGAAATGCGACAGCATGTGCTGCCTGCAAAGCAGGTGCTACCTGCGAGGGCACGTGCTAACTGCGACGGCAGGTGCTACCTGCGAGGGCAGGTGCTAACTGTGACGGCAGGTGCTACCTGCGAGGGCAGGTGCTAACTGCGACGGCAGGTGCTACCTGCGAGGGCAGGTGCTAACTGCGACAGCAGGTGCTACCTGCGAGGGGCTGGGGCAGGAGCCACCTGTGAGGGCAGGTGCTACCTGTAAGGGCAGGTGCTACCAGTGAAAGTACAGGTGCTATTTGAGAATAAGAAGGTGCTACCTGTTAGCCTTGAGCTGAGCGTGGGTTCTGGCCTCCATCTCTCGCTCCACCTGCTGCAATCCCTCCTTCGCTAACTCGTCAGATGCTACCTGCGAACGAGGGCAGGTGCTACCTGGGAAGGCAGGTGCTACCTACCTGTTAGCCTTGAGCTGAGCGTGGGTTCTGGCCTCCATCTCTCGCTCCACCTGCTGCAATCCCTCCTTCGCTAACTCGTCAGATGCTACCTGCGAACGAGGGCAGGTGCTACCTGGGAAGGCAGGTGCTACCTACCTGTTAGCCTTGAGCTGAGCGTGGGTTCTGGCCTCCATCTCTCGCTCCACCTGCTGCAATCCCTCCTTCGCTAACTCGTCAGATGCTACCTGCGAACGAGGGCAGGTGCTACCTGGGAAGGCAGGTGCTACCTACCTGTTAGCCTTGAGCTGAGCGTGGGCTCTGGCCTCCATCTCTCGCTCCACCTGCTGCAATCCCTCCTTCGCTAACTCGTCAGATGCTACCTGCGAACGAGGGCAGGTACTACCTGGGAAGGCAGGTGCTACCTACCTGTTAGCCTTGAGCTGAGCGTGGGCTCTGGCCTCCATCTCTCGCTCCACCTGCTGCAATCCCTCCTGCTCAGTCTCTGCCATAAAAGATAAATGCCGTGGATGAAAGTGATTGTTGGAGGTGGGACAGAAACGAGTGAAGGGTGTTCTGTTGTGGGTGCAGCAGGGTGCGGTGGAAACACCAGAGCATACATCACAGCCGGTGTGCTTTTACTTGTGATGTAGCATCACAGCCGGTGTGCTTTTTACTTGTGATGTAGCATCACAGCCGGTGTGCTTTTTACTTGTGATGTAGCATCACAGCCGGTGTGCTTTTTACTTGTGATGTAGCATCACAGCCGGTGTGCTTTTTACTTGTGATGTAGCATCACAGCCGGTGTGCTTTTTACTTGTGATGTAGCATCACAGCCGGTGTGCTTTTACTTGTGATGTAGCATCACAGCCGGTGTGCTTTTTACTTGTGATGTAGCACCACAGCCGGTGTGCTTTTTACTTGTGATGTAGCATCACAGCCGGTGTGCTTTTACTTGTGATGTAGCATCACAGCCGGTGTGCTTTTTACTTGTGATGTAGCATCACAGCCGGTGTGCTTTTTACTTGTGATGTAGCATCACAGCCGGTGTGCTTTTTACTTGTGATGTAGCATCACAGCCGGTGTGCTTTTACTTGTGATGTAGCATCACAGCCGGTGTGCTTTTATTGTGTGACAGGTGAGAAGTTCTGAATTGAAATGCGTTGCATGCATCATCTTCCTCCTGCTCCTCTTCCTCCGTCCCTGCCTCTGTTCCTTTCAACCTCTGCTTCCTTCTCCTCCTCCTCTATCATTAATCAACACGTAAGTAAGACCCAAGTATTATCAACTATCAGCCCAGCCGCACAAGGTCTCGGTACCGCTCAAAGTTCCACGCCTCCTCCTCCTCCACTCTCTTGTTAAATACACGGAACACAAAACCCTAGCGACACAACAACACAGCTAAGGCTACTCACTCGCATGCCAGCCCAGCCGCACAAGGTCTCGGTACCGCTCAAAGTTACACGAATCCTTCTCCTCCTCTTGCTGCTCCTCTCTCTCACTCAATATGCAGAAAAGGCTACTCACTTGCATGCCAGCCCAATCGCACAAGGTCTCGATACCGCTCAAAGTTACACGCCTCCTCCTCCTCCTGCTCCTCTCTCTCACTCAATATGCAGAAAAGGCTACTCACTCGCATGCCAGCCCAGCCGCACAAGGTCTCCGTACCGCTCAAAGTTACACAAATCCTCCTCCTCCTCTTGCTGCTCCTCTCTCTCACTCAATATGCAGAAAAGGCTACTCACTTGCATGCCAGCCCAGCCGCACAAGGTCTCGATACCGCTCAAAGTTACACGCCTCCTCCTCCTCCTCTTGCTGCTCTGTGAGCTCCCTCGACCCGTGCCTGTGCGGATCATACTCTCGAATGAAATCCAGCATAGCCCGCCCGTCATATCTGTGTTGTCACGGGTGGTGGGGGTATGCGCACGGACAAGGGGGATAGACGGGTAACAGGTTGGTGCTGGCTTTTGAGTCGACTCAAAAGTCAACTCGCAGGTGGGGGTATGCACAGGGACAGGGGGTATAGACGGGTAACAGGTTGGTGCTGGGCGGCTCTGTCAGCTCCCTCGCCCCATGCCTGTGCGGATCATATTCCCGGATAAAATCCAGCATCGCACGGCCGTCGTACCTGTGTTGTCACAGGTGGGGGTTATGAAAAGAGGGAGATGGGGGAAAGATGGGTGGCGGTCTGAGAGTGGGCATGGCTCAGCTCCCTTGCCCCATGCCTGTATGATTTTTAATCCCGAATAAAATCCAGCATGGCTTGCCCGTCGTACCTGTGCCAGAGAGTGGTCAATGGTGGTGGAAATGGGTAGGGGTGGGTGGGAGAAGCACTTCAGATACATAAATGTCGCGAAATAAATACATCAGGCATGGAAGGAACGCACATGGGGAGCACCAATTATACCTAACTGCCATGGCCCGCGCTTATGAAGGAATGCCATTTTCTTGAAGTGCCACAGAAAGCCATAATTGTCAGGTGTGTGAAGTTGACAATGACTGACCAGCAGCAGCTGGAACACGTTGTAAACAACACACCTTCTATATTGTCCCATTACACTTTATACCTGTCTATGAGCGTGTCCTGATTGATTTTTTTTATTTTTGCTGAACTGGATTACGACGCTCGCCCACTTACCTGTCTATGAGCGTGTCTTCTCTGTTGTTCCATGGAATGCTGCAGGGGCCGTCGAGCGGGGTGGAACGGGATGCGCCGCACCAGACGAGAGAAAGGAGAGAGGAGTACGGGACACGGAGCACAGCGGAAGGAGCGAGGCACAGCCAGAAGCAGCAAAGCGCGAAACAGAGGAAAGCGAGGTGAAGAGGAGAGAAAAGGGAGGGAAGGCAGCAGGAGGGCAAGAAAAAAGGAGGGGCATTAGCATAGCGAAACACGTGACGGAAATAGCGCAGCGCGGGCAGATCCTAGCACGACACCGAAAGAAAAGAATATAAAAAAAGGGTCAATACAAAAACATAATCTGTTATTGAATGTAAACATAACATCCGTCAACTCTAATGGCGTTACTGCAGATCACATGTGATGCATAGAATGGCCAACGAAAATGGGAGTTACATGAGAAACGAGCGCAGGAAGCAGGGGGAAGAGGGAGAATCGGAAAGGCGATTTGAGGGGGAAGGGGGGAGGGGCGAAGGAGGGTGAGGGCGGGAGGGGGGGGATGAGAAGAGGAGAAGTGGAGAGCGAGAGAAAGAGGGGAATAGGGAAGGGGAGTGAACAAGGGGGGATGCACCGGAAGGCAATAGGGCACGGCACGGTGAAGGCGGCGATTAAAACACTAGAGGGATAGAGGGGTCGCAGACAGGCTTATGAGCCCGTGGAGACAAGTCAGGGGAATGCCTATTAGGCGATGGCCAGCCTTGGAAGGGTGGAAAGGAGAGGGGTCACAGACAGGCCTCCTCTCCGTGAATCCAAAGAAAGGGTAGAGGGATAGGGGGTCACAGACAGGCCGCGAAGTCCACTGATTTGATATCTTGAAAGGGTGGAGGGATAAGGGGTCACAGACAGGCCGGAGAGGTCCTGCGCGGACTGGTAGACGGCGGAGTCGTGCGCCAGGCGGAGCTTGGTGCCCGCCACGCGCAGCAGCTGCGTCGGATCCCCCGCGCGCCGAGACCGCTGATCCGCGCGCCGCTCGGCGCGCTTCTTCGCCGCGTCCATCATCTCGTGCACGCGCTTCTCCGACCGCCGCGCCTCGTGCCACATGATGGCGGCGCGCGCTCCGATGCTCCTAAGCTCGTTTTCTAGACTGCCTGAAACACTCTAATGCTTCTACGCTCGTTTTCAGAAAAGTAAAACGTGAAATTTGACTAGCACTACTGAAAATCGCACACCTGTTGATAACAGACGGACAGGAAGTCGACCCTGTGTTTTGCAGGAAGAAACAGCGGTAGCATCTTACTGTTCCCTTTTTTGTGTGTATGTCGGTTCGGATTGTATCGGTCGTACCAGCCGCGAGGGTCGTTTCAAACACCTCGATCCAACTGGTTCATATTCCGAGCATTTCCTCGCGACGCACTGCTTTCACGACGGCGAAGCCTGGCTCTTCGTTAGCGAAGAGATGAGACGACAACAACAAGCCATGGGCCTGGCGAAGGAAGTTGTGTGTTTTCCCGCGATGTAGAAATGCGCAGCAACCAGAGTTACAAGTCCTGGCGACAAAACTAGCTCGTTTTGTTCGGTCAAATTCCGACAGTTGGGTGAAAGTGCTCACCTCGGGAATCCCCAGGGCTGACGATTAGGGGGAAGCATTCACCAGAATGGAAAATGGTAATTGCTCGGCACCTAGCTCAACCATTCTGTGTACTTATTTTAGTCTGTAAACGCAACGCACCTGATTAAGCCACACTCCTGGACACTGATCATCACACTCGTCTCATTTAGTCCCCAGGAAACCCAGTCCACATCACAGGACAGCTAGACGCTAGCTAAATAAGAGTTACCTAGTAAAATACTTAGCCTAAAATAGGAGCTCGAGGCATCAATCCCCCTGAGATAGTCTTCAACTATCCATCATTCAATCCGTACTCGCGTAGGTAACTCGAGATTTCACCAGCCACCCAAGATCAGCGAGGGTCCTGGCATACACGATCAATAGGACGGATTAGACGAATTCGACGAATGCAACGAGTTTAACGCATTCATGAACTTTTACGTCGCCTCGCGCAGGTCAGCTCACCGTTGGCTATGGCTAGTTCTACCCCATGCGTCACGGCCATTTGTCGATCGAATATGTGTAACATCTCAAACGCACCGAATAGCATCGCGATCTTCTGTTCCTCTCTCGTCAAGCCACGATCAGATCGGATCAAATCCAAACGAACCTGCGCGAACCGCGTCTTTTCAAATCCGAAACCCATGCCGAAGCTTAGAGACACCTCATGAGACCTTTTCATCCCAAGTCCGAAGCTTCGCCGCATGGTCTGCCGCTGGTGCGTCTTCCAGGGCAGCAGGCGCAGAAGCTTCCGAGGCAGCGACTGCTATCTCTGGGTCGAAATCACTTCCCAAAAGCAAGACTCTGATAGCGGTGCAAGCGGAGTTTAAAACGCGTACAGTGAAGGACGAGGAATGGGGGGATGGGAGAGGAGGGCGGAGGAGGATCAGGAAAGTGGAAGGGGGAGAAAAGGGAGGTGGGAATGAGAGGGTTGAGAGGGTAGTAGCTGGGAATGCAGCGGGGAAGAGTGAGGGAGGCATGAGGAAGAGACACGGGAGGAAAGGCTGCAAGGAGGAGGAGAAGGAGGAGGAGGCAGTGGCAGTGATTGCTGAAGTGCTGAGGGAGAGATTCGGGCGTCAGATTGTGAGAGAGGAGTGGGAGGAGTGGGAGAGTGATATAAGTAGCAGTGGGGACAGATTGGTCAGGGGAACAGTGAAAGAGGCGGAAGAGGAAGATGGGGGAAATGAGGAGGAGGAGGAAGAGGAGGAGGAAGAGGAGGAGGAGGGGGGTGTAGAAGGATTTGGAGAGGAAGAAGAAGGAGCAGGAGCGAGTGACGAGGATGCACCCGGGGCCACATCTCCTCTCACACCCCCTCCATCTCCAGCCAAGAGCCGGCGGGTCGTATCTCCCTCCTCCCTCCTCTCCCTCTACCGCTTCTTCTCCTCCCACCTCGGCATCTCCTCGCCTTCCACTGTCGCTTCCCTCCTCACCTATAAGCCCCAACTCCTCCGCTCCAATCCCACCAATGACTTCCTGCCACGTGTCCATCTCCTTCAATCATACGGCATTTCCAATGCTGACATCGTGCACATGACTCTGAGAAATCCAGCCTGGCTCCGATCCTCCCTGCCACGGATTCAGAGTGTGCTTGAGTTTCTCTTGGCTAAAGGCATCCGCCAAAGCAGATTGGGCTCGGTGCTTTTGTACGGATGGGGCTTACTCTGCTATGAGGCTCATTCAACGAACCTGGACATTCTGGTGGAGAAGGCAGGGGTTCCTGTGGACAAGCTGGGTGTGATTATAGAGAGATGGCCGGCCATCTTGACTCGGAGTGAAGAGACGGTGAAAATGCAGCTTGAGATGCTATCAGCCTATCTCTACGCGGGACCTGGAAGGAAGGTAGAAGCGGATACTTCCAGCACAAGCTCCCTGAAGCAGCGACTACATGAGCCACATCTGGACAAGAGCCACCTTAGCAAGCTTATCCTGAACTGTCCATTCATTCTCTCAAAATCTCCCTATCGCATTGCAGAGAATATCGCCATTCTGCAGTCCTTCACTCCCCCAGGCACCCCCTCCGTTGCGAGCTCTGTGCTTCGTCGCGCCCCGAGCATTCTTGGTTACAGCAAAGAAACTCTCTTAGCTAAGCTCCAATTCTTTGGGGAGCTGGTGGGGGAGGAAGGGGCAGGAAGAGTAGCGGGGATTTACCCAGGGGTTCTGCTACTATCGAGGGAGAATCTGCAAGGTAAAGTGGCGGCATTGGCTGATTTGATTGGCCAAGAAAACGTTGTGCGGGTGGTGGCACAATTTCCTACGCTAATGAGTTCTAGTGAAAGTGGCATGAGGGAAAGTTTCAGAGAGCTTGTGCGAGAAGTGGAAGAGGCATTGGGGAGCAGCGGAGAAGAGGGAAGTGGGACGCAAATGTTGAGGGAAGGTGATAGAGGTAACTGTTTGGCAGGGGGGGAATACTCTCGAGCACAAAGTGTTGAGAGATGCAGGGCTCATCGGTTGGTGGTGGATTTGGTTTTGAGGTACCCGTCGTCTATCCATTACAGTTGGAAAACGAATCTGAAGCCCAAGGTGGAGTACTTAAAACGGGACATGGGGCTCTCTATAATGGAGGTGCTTGACTACCCTCCATTTCTTGGGTACAGTTTGGATGGGCGAATCAGACCGCGACACGTGGCGCTGGTGCGAATGGGCTATGCGGTTGTGGCACGTGAGATGTCAAGCCGGATGAGTGTTAGAGACAGGAAGGATGATTCGATTGAAGCTGGGATACAGAGGAGCAAGCTGGGTGTTGTGTCTAGCAATGTGGAGGGGGTAGAGGGGACTGTATGGGGAGCGGAAGAAGGGAAGAGTGGGCCGTTCGGGAGCAATGATGAGACAGGGGAGAGAGTTGTTACGGACCGGCAGCTTCTGGATCTGGAGGTGTCAAAGAAAAGGGTAGGCCTGCACCAGTTTCTTCACTTCACAGACAAGAAGTTTGAGGAGAGGTTTGGGGTCAAACAGTAGGGCTAGGCTTCGAAGGCTTCCAATGTGCCCGGGGCCCCAGTCCATGCGTGAGTGTGAGGGTGTGTGCCAATGCCTGAGCCTGTGCCTCCACACTGTGAATATCAAACTGTCAGGCCGCTAGGTGTTGGTGCCACAGCATTATTGCAGGGTCCTTTGTTGCCGCCCGATGGGACCTGAGGGGTTGTGGCTGCTACAGCTGCTTCTGCTACAGCTGTCGCAGCCCTGCCTCTGCTGGACCTGCTACAGCTGTTTCTGTGGGTGGCGGTGTCACTGTCTGTAGCGGAGGAGCTGCTGTTCAGAGGGCTGCTGCTCACGGCCCTACAAGAGAAGCTCGGTAGGTGAGAGGCTCGGCAGGAGGCTCGGTAGTGAGGTTTGGCAAGGCTCCACTACGACCATCTTTTGGGTTTGATAACTTCCTCCATTCCCATAGCACTCGCTCTCTCTCATCAATCCAATATCACTCATTCTTTCCCATCTTCACTCACTTGATATCGTCCCTCTGTATCCTTCCCCTCTTTTCTCACTGCACGATCCCCTTTCCTGCCTCTTTCCCTCCAGGATGGGCGCTGCCATGCTGTCTGCAGCGCTCTTCTTCGGCCTCTTCCACCTCTCCCTCTTCCACCTCTTCCCCAGCATGGCCCTTGGGATTGCCGTCGGCCTGCTTGCTGGTGCGAATGGGCAATGGCTGTGTTGGAGACAGGAAGTTTGTTTCGTCGAGAACTGGAGAGGAGAGGAGCCAGCTGTGTTCGTGTCTGACAAAGTGGAGGGGGTAGAGGGGATTGAATGCGGACGGAAGAAAGAGTGAAGGAGCGGGTGACAGGCAAGAGCAGCAGGGCCATAGGGAGGATTGTGGCAATGGACCTTTACTTGGGAATTTCCCCAGGAGTGATGAGGCAGGAGGGAGAGCTGTCTAAGAGCAGCACATGTGAATCTGGAGGCGGCAAGGAAAACAGTGTGCTTGCAGCAGTTTCTTTGGGGCACAGGCAAGCAGTTTGAGTAGTTTGGGGTCAAACTGAAATAAATTGAGGCGATATTTGAAGGTCCCACGAGTCAACAATCAAGGACCTCGTCAGGGTTCAGGATAGAGCAAGAGCAGCAATAGGAGAGGAATAAATCTACTGTGATTCCTCCTGTGTCGACCACAAGACAGCTACCTGTGGAGCACCTATGGCAGCACTAGCAAGATAGTGTAGTGTATGTCTAGGTGTATGTTAGAGATGGTGTCACATTGTGTATGCGTTGATGCAAAGAAAACGAGTTTGAAGTGCCTTTTGTATTTGAGATCACCTTGTGTAAACTTACGGCATTTCTTTTTGCGCGAGTGAATAACACCATTCAAAACACAGCAAAGCTTGAGGTGGCTGTTGGGAAATTGTTCCTCAAAATCTGATAGTATATCCGGGGATCATGGTCACACGCTACACCTCGTTGGCGACAATGCGAATCATGCTCCTAGGCCGGATGAACAAAATTGCATCGCATGTATCTCGCGATGTAGAGATGCGAAGCAACCACAGTTACATTGTCTGGCGAAAACAGCATCAGCAGCTCGCTCGTTCTGGGAAGACGTCGGCCGAATCCCTCCGCGGAAACCCGTTCGCCCCTGCGGATTTTCCTCGGAGGGATTTCCGTTTTCCCTCCGTCGCCTAGCGGGGCACGCGAGGGGCGGGAGCCAGCCCACCCGCCCGCCCAAAACGAGCCACGCCAGCTCGGAGTGACGCGAGGTGGTCCTCGCTCGAGCTAGCGTTGACCCCACTGTCAGAATCCCAACCACTAGACCATTGGGATAAAAGGGCTTGTTTCAGTAGCGGGTCAGTGCGCCCCTAACCCCCCAGGCGAACGCGCCTGTAACCCTCTCCAGGATCAATCGGGCATCCACAGTGCAGATCTACCGACACCCCCCCACACTGGGAGGCCCAGGACTAAGCACAGCGGCAACGGCCTGCATGTGCATACACCGGGAATTGAACCCGAGATCGCTCTAATACCATGTCAGAATCCCAACCACTAGACCATTGGGATAAAAGTGCTTGTTTCAGTAGCGGGTCAGTGCGCCCCTAACCCGCCAGGCGAACGTGCCTGTAACCCTCTCCAGGATCAATCGGGCATCCACAGTCCAATTCTACTGACACCCACGTGCTCCCCCCGGTCTGCACCAACCCCGCCTGCACCAACCCCCCTGTCCGTCAAGTAAATCCGCCTCCGTCGACGGATTCCGTCTCGACCCGACGGAAAGTGGTGCAGAGAAAAGCGCGGCAGAACGCGCCACAGACCAGCTGACACTGAAATAAAAGCGTATACCTAAACAAATAAATACATCAACTGCAATGGGCAAACTTGATAAGGAATAGGAGGCACAAAAAAAGGGGGCATTCCCGACAATTCTCATTAATACGTAATCATCAATTTTAATCTTATTCATGCGCAGGTGCCAGGTAGAACACATGTCGATGGTTTCGCTCGCTACCCGTGCGCCGTAGAGCAAGTGAATATGAACTTAATGAGAACGCATTCTTGTACCACTGGGCCCAGCCTTTCTAGCACGCTGCAGGGACCGACTCAACCGAGTACGAAGACGAGGGTTCAGGCGTTACTTTCACCGACCAGCTCGGCGCTGCTTGGTCGAACAGCATTCGCCGAGACCAGCTCGTCGAGCACAGCACGCCGAGCAGTGCCCATAGAAGGGTTTCGTCGACCACTAATGTGCATTAGCAATGCACGTCGGCGTCGTCGACTGGATCCCGTCGAGCAGAGCCTGCGACAGCATTTTTGTCGTCGACCGTCCCGTCGTCGACATACAACGAAGTGTTGTCGAAGAGAGTTTGAAAACCAATCACTGCCATAGGTGAACTACCAACCTTTTCAGGTAGTGTAAAAATCATACAATTTGGAAAGCTATAGTTTGTTGAATATGATGTTTTTTCTGTATTTATTACATAGACGAATATGGTCTGTTCGACGGGGTAATAAATGTGAAAGCAAGTAATTTAAGGTAAGAGCCATAGCTAGGACTAACCTAGCTAGGCAAGGAAAAGGTTTAGAAAAGAGAGAGGTTTTGCACTAGCAAGCAAGGGGATACATAGAGTACCCCACTGCAGGCTAGAGAACAAATATAACATTCTGACACACCCCCATAGCCAAAGTGGGGTGTAATCAGTAGAGCAAGCAAAGCAGTACAAGCTCAGGGTGGATCACAATGTCACCACACATTCTGAGCACAAGTTCAAGAAGCAATAGTTTAAAGTTCACAACTATGAGCAAAGCTAGAGGTAGTCACAACGGGCAAGTGAGGAGGAGGAGAGAGAGTGAGAGGAGAGAGGAGGCGACGATGAAGCTGCAGACACACGGGCAACAGGAGGCAGACTGGCACAGCGGCTACCGGACGAAGTCCCCGGAATACAGGAGTAACTGGCCCCGCGGCTAAAGTAGCGGCAGACGAGCAACGGACCCACGGGCGGCTGGCACAGCTGGCTACGACCAGGCTACCGGACGAAGTCCCCGGACTACAGGTGCTGCTAGCGACACAGCGGCAACCTCCATTCACCTTCCCCAAGCTATCCTACTCCCCCTGGCACACACCCACTGCTACACCGCTAGCTCCACTCCCCCTTCACCCCCCCTTAGTATCACTCCACCGGCTCCAACACGTCCACCCCCCCCCCCCCCCCCTCAGCGGCAACTGCAGCACAAGGAGACGGAGGAGGAGGAGGAGCAGGGAGCAGTACAGAGTAAGGTCACTCCCATACCCCTCACCCCAAACCCTAAGTTAGGAGAATGGGGAGTAGGAGGGGTGGGGCGGTAGTAGAGGCACTGGGAACAGCGGGGAGGGCAGGGAAAGGCAGGAACGGGCCCACCACGGGCCTGGTAGGGATGCCCGAGCCGCGCGCATGCGGCCCGAGCCGCGCGCAGGCGTGGCGCCGTCCGTACGGGCCGCGCGCTGGCCTGGCGCCGTCCGTACGGGCCGCGCGCTGGCCTGGCGCCGCCCATACACACGGGTGACGTCATCGCATGCCGCCCCGCCCGCCCTGGCACAGAGGGAATCGAGGCAAAACGAAAAACCCGCGGAATCCCTCCGGGCCCCCGGAAATTCCCGGCTGACCAGGCAAAAAAAACCCGCAGAAACCCGCGGGTTCAATGTCGTATTCTTATGCCAATATATATGTCGGCCGTACTGTTGCAATTTCGCGGACATTTGTCGAACAGTGCTCGACGGACATTGGCCAATCGCCGTCGAGCACCGTGCACCCCCGACAACACTGGTTACACCCCGTGGCAAGTCGCCAGGGAATCGCCTACACAGTGTTTTGTAACTCAAATATCAGCCAAGTTAAGGCCCTAAAAATAATATACGATTCTCGACGGAAGGGGTATTTCCGTCGAAAATGTGCAGACATTTTGTTCTCGACGGAAGGGGTATTTCCGTCGAAAATGTGTCAATTCTCGAAGGAAGGGCGTTAATACTTCAGTTCTGCAATTTCCTGTCTTCTACAGAGCCTTGGTTGGCATTAAAATTGTGTATCGCCTTCGACAACATTTCGAATTGACGGCAAATATTTTTTCTTCGACGAAAACTCAAATGTGATGTTCAACAAGAGGTGCTCCCTGTCGAAAATAGTTGAACGAGGATTGAGTTAAGTTGAAACTAGGGCCTAGGCTTAGGAGCCTAGGCCCAAGATTAGGTGTCGAGAGGTTCTTGCCTAGGGTGAGGTTCAAGTGAGTTGGAAGAGAAGTTGGGAAGAATGTGGTTTCACTATAGATTTCGAAGTACATATAGCAAAGGAAACAAATGAAGAGGTGCACCACCTACAAATTTAATAACTACACTACAGCTAGAACTACATGCACTTATAATAAACATAATTCTGACACTCCCGGGATGTTCGACAGTACTTAGGGATTCCGCTAAATGTTTCAACAAAGCACATTGAAAAACTTTGCCCCTACACTTTCACATTTTTGTCGAAACAGTACTGCATTACTTTCTGTCGAACAGGGAAACTCATTCGATAAGGTTCCGATTTCACAGGCGGGAAAACAAAATTTCCGAGACGCTGTTCGATGAAATTGATTATCGACAGCAGAAACCGTTTCTAGATTTTGGCAAGTCAGCTTCTGCATTCGACGCAGAAATTGTCGAGCTGCGCATTATCCCCATTCGTCAAAACGAAAGATTTCAACAGACAGAGCAAAGCGGTCGAGAAGTTTATTTCAATCGACCAAGCATATCTATCGCCGCCAGCACCCTGTTTCACTTCTCTTTGTAGCATCGAGACTCACAATCACATAACTAATCAACAAAGCTCGAGTTTTACTATACGTTAATACATATCGTGAACGTGGACAATCGACACAAGCAGTGTTATTGTTGCAGTAGAGTTTGGCAGCTGCATTTTACTACCCCGTCGAACAGACCATATTTGTCTATGTAATAAATACAGAAAAAACATCATATTCAACAAACTATAGCTTTCCAAATTGTATGATTTTTACACTACCTGAAAAGGTTGGTAGTTCACCTATGGCAGTGATTGGTTTTCAAACTCTCTTCGACAACACTTCGTTTTATGTCGACGACGGGACGGTCGACGACAAAAATACTGTCGCAGGCTCTGCTCGACGGGATCCAGTCGACGACGCCGACGTGCATTGCTAATGCACATTATGTTAGAATCCCAACCACTAGACCATTGGGATAAAAGGGCTTGTTTCAGTAGCGGGTCAGTGCGCCCATAACCCCCCAGGCGAACGCGCCTGTAACCCTCTCCAGGATCAATCGGGCATCCACAGTGCATATCTACTGACACC